TAATCTTAAAATAGAATTATTATATAAAATATAAAATTAGATCAGACGGAGTTAAACATATTATAATTTTATTATTTTATGAATATTAATACAGTATAATAGAATTAGAACAGTATAGAATAGAACAGAATATCAAATCAATTGTTAATTATCTAAAACTGCTAATTATCTAAATAATAATTTTATTAACTTTTTCGGGAATAACATATACCAACGAAAAGAAAACCTGGTTTCTTAAGGGGAAATTATATAATAATAATAATTTAACATAAGAGTATCAGGATGTTTATTTTCTTGAATTAGCCATTTTATAATATTGTCGGTTATACATATATTACCAATACATACATAAATTTTGTAAATGTATTATAATAAATGTGCACTATTTTATTATAAAGAAAAGATATTTTTGTTTTTGAGATCAAATCTCAGTAGACTGCATGTTTGTTACAGTATTATTAAATTAATTATGTGACAAAAACTGATTTTTATATAATTTATATATAAATAATATTAATATCATTTTAATATTGTTATTTTAATTTTAATAAAAAGCTAACATAATTTTTTATTTTTGATTAAAAAATAACTTATGCCTTTGTTCTTTAAAGTATTAGATTCTGTGGAGTTTTAGAACAGTATTAGATAAACTCTAATAAAATATTATGTAATGATAATTATTATTTTTATATAATAGAAAATCATTTTACATTTTCTATTCTATGTACACATAGATTTAAAAATATTAAAATATAATTAAAAATTTTAAATTATAAACAAATATTAATATTTTAATACGAATAATACCAATTTTGTTGTAATATTTAAGCAAATAATTTTGTAATTATAATATGCATTTAAAATTTTAAGTATATAAAATAATCCTAACAGTATTAGTCAAATATTTTGTATAAATAATGTAACATAGGAATAACAAAACTAACGCAATAGTTAATTAGTATTATTTATTATATCAATAAGTATGACTAATATTTGCAAAATGAGTTTTTCTTTTATAGTAAATTTAAAATTGAAATATCAATTATTAACGTCATTATTAAATTTAATTCATATTTTATATTTTTAAATTGTTCTTAATGAATGTTATTTTTATGTTTTTTTTTATGTTTAACAATTTGATTTTCATTGTATATTCATTTTAAAAATGCTTAAAGATTACTTAAAGAAATGAAATTTAAGAGTTAAAAATGTTAACAATGAATAAAATATATTAATTGTGACTTTAATAATATTTAATAAAAAGTTGCAGTTGGTTCAAATTTCAATTAAATCTAATATAATATTTCACAAATAAGTAATTAACAAACCAATATTGGTATATTGAAAAATAATTGTGTTTAGATTTAAAGTATAATATATAATTTCTAGATCTATAATAGAAACTGTTTAAGGTTATTTAAATATACTATGCCAAATTACAAAAGAGCCATGTAAGTATGATACATAATATAATAATTATATATGCAATGATATTGAGTTGAATTTATTGTTAACTAACTTAATGGATTTGTCATAAAATAGCATCAAATTTTATATGAATTTCTTTTTTATTATTTTAAATCTGTTTTATAAAATTGTTATTTTATTTCATGAAAATTTTTATTAATTAATATTTTGTATTCAATTTTTTTTTACAACATTGTACTTTCAATATTTGTTTTGTTTTTAAAATTTTAAATATTAACGTTTAACGTTTTAAAAGTTTTCGAGTAGTTATTCAATTAATTGTATAAAAGAACATTTTTTAAATAATTTAATTATATTTAAATACTAATAATCAAATATAAATAAAAAATACAATTGTAATTATAAATGAAAATAATTTATGTCTATTTGGTAGAATAGGAATTTTGTTTAATATTAGCTATTTTTATCTATTTTGTGTAGTTAATTAAAAAAGTTTGTAAATATAATATACTTAATAAAAAAACATATAGATATATTCATTATCTTGAGATATCATAAGTAATATGAACAAAATAAATAATAATCTATATTAAATTATGATATAAAATAATTATAAAAATTTTAATTAATTTATATTACATTTAAAAAAATATCATATATTACCATATTATAAGATAATCGTAAATATATCAAGTAATAAAAGTGTTTGATTTCTGGCTCGAACTGCCAAGTTCGATAGTTCAATTAATTTGCCGCCCGCCTGAACGATGCTTAGGTAAGGACTTAAATGGAATGACTGTAGAGATTTAGTGTGTTTAGACTTCGTTAAAACATCATTTATTTTAGTTTATTCACAATTACATTATTGTTGAATTGAATTCACTTCTCATGGGTGAATGTGAACTAGGCTCTATCACATCGATATAGTTGCTCCTTTAATGATGGTGACGATGTTATTGCTGATGTTGTATGGATCAGCAGTGGATTGTGTATACTCCTTGAAAATAAGTATGGCTTGTTTATGTGATCTATGTTAATATTGTAAGGATTAACAGGGGGAGTTAAGCATATTATTGAAGAGAGTATGGATTGTTTATGTGATCTGTGATAATGTCCTAAGGATTAGCAGGGAGAGAGAGTATACTCATAAAGGGAGTATGGTTTGTGTTGGTTACCCTCAATAGAGACTACTTCTTGGTAAGGAGTACTTCGATACCATGCTTCTTGTAGTCGACTATTTCCTTGTAATACAGTCAGCACCCTTGACTGTTTGTTAACTGTAGCGCACTGAAGAATTCAACATGTGTTTTTTGTAATGGCTTCACTGAGAGAGCGCGACTGAGTGATGAGTTCATGGCTATAGACTCTGGCTGAATAGCGTGGCTGACTAGCGTAGATGACTGACTTGGATGAGTAACTAACGTGTCTCGATGCGCGCTTCCTTAAATATCCACGCGGCAGCTATGTTAGCTGGCAACAGTGCCTACATGTTGCTATGCGGAGACTAGACAGACTTGCAAGATGTTCGAGAATAAGCTTTAAAAGCTTCGACAATTCCAGGAATCAAATGTTTACAAATTCGAGAACTAGAAGGCTTATAAATATCAGAGAACCGAAGGTTTTGGAAAAATGCTCCAATTCCGAACAAAATTGATTATATATTCTACCGTACATTGGATTATTTATGATTTCACTTTTGTATTTTAGACTTTATATTAAAGATAATTATACTTATATAAGTATATTTAATAAGTATATATCATAAAAAGATTCCAAATGTATGACTACATTAAATATGTATTCTGTACCTAGTTTTTCTATAACAAGAAATAGCAACATTAGAAATTAATTTGTTTTATAATTATCTATATAAAATGTTGATTTTAATATAATAATTATTATTTATATTTAAAATTTTTGTAGTATTGAAGTAAATTTTGAATTTGCATGTTTTATTTCGTATTTTTAATAAAAAAAACTGTATTCAATATAATAATTTCATTCTATTATGATATAAATAACCTTTGACAATAAAAACTTCGTAAATAATTAAATACAGATATAATATATATATATATATATATATATATATATATATATATATATATATATATATATACTATAGATTTAAAAAACTAGTTTCAATTAAGTAATAATCAATATAAATAAATAATAAACAAATAAATTTTGCTTAATAATATAACGTATTTTACAAATTGTTACATATCCCTGTTAAAATTTTTTACATTTTAGGAATAAACTACATTTCATCCAACTATATTTATGCATATGCAGATTTAAAAATATATAATAGACATTTATATACATATAGAATAAATACTTGAAAAGTACTAGTCTGGATGGATCATCATCTGTTATGGATACTTTTAAGATGACTGATGAAATTGAAATGAAAAGCATAAAAGCGGCTATTCAGAATCTAATAGAGAAGTTTGAATAGAAACTGAGAATAAAAAATGAGATATTTATAAATACACATTAAAAATATAAAAAATTATTGAAAACAGTATTTATATTTGTAAATATCAGAGTATTTAAAAAATTTTTGGTAATTCTACATTTAAATACTAAATAATAGTGATTAAAAAATAAAATGTCATTAAAGGTTTAAATATTCGAAAAATATTGTTTAAATAGAAATTACAAGAAAAGCGTGTAAATTTTAACTACTCGCAAATTATGATATAAATTTAATGTGCAAATAAAAAAAACGGGTTGCAATAGATTACTTAACTTTCAATTTCTCTTAAATTTAAGATCATACAAAAATAAAATATAATCACTAATATACAACTATATATAATTAATTAACATTTTATTATTTCTAACTATTAATGCATAATCAGATACAACATTAAAAATCATATTTTAAAAAGATCATAAAAATAATCAACTCGTACAGATGATTAAAAAATAGTACAAAAAAGTTCACTATTAAAAAGAAATAATACTTCATATTTTAAGGTTACGTAAATTTAATATACAAATATAATTATTAGATTGCGTGAATATTGATTGGGAAAATGATGTCTGTTTATTTGAGTATTTATGTTTTAATACTTTCGTAGAGCATATGATAGTTCAAAAACACAGATATAAAAATTAAATAATTTTTATATATTTCTATATAATTTTACTTATATACTAAAAATTTTACTATTAAAATTTATATACTATCAATAGAATGTTATACTTTAAATATAAAAATGAAAGTTATAAGAAAATTAGTGTTAAGCTATATCGAAGACAAACATTATTTAATCACACAATTAATTCATTTGCACAGAAAGGTGTTAGACTAGACATACTTATATAGACACATATAACAACCAAAATCGCATATTAGCACATATGTATGCGTACGTGCGCGCTCGCGCGTGTGTATGTGCAAAGAGTAAAGAAAATTATACTTATCTAATTGGTCTTAAATATATACTAATCAAATGTAAGATACTATTCTTACTTTAGATCAATTTATCTCATTATGAAAACTTGATAAATATATATAGGTATTTGCAAAAAGAGAAGAATAATTTATTTTATTGTTTTAGATGACACGATGTATTCAGTTGTATCTAAAATCAAGCACATACGATCGTGAATAAATATTTTCACAAATATTTCCGAATAATTAAGGATAAAAGTACCTTGCCTTTATTTAAAAATATGGAAAATCACTATCGGAGTGTGTGATTCGAATGCTGTTAAATCAGAACTCTGGACACGTGTTCAGTCGAAGGTTGCTAACACGTAGAAAAAAGAGGTGCGTGGAAAATAATAGCTGAGAACTTCATTAGACAAGAATATCCGTGTGGCGAAGAAGACGCGGTCCATTTCCGGTCCGCCGATTTGGCGGCATGGTCCTTTGGGCCACGATACTCATCCTTCAAGGTGCTAGTCTTGTGGGTAAGTTTCTAAATTACGAATATTATTACTTAAAGGCTGCACCAATAAAATATTTACTTTTCATTAAATTTTAAATGAATTCGATATTATTTTTATTATTTTTTTTGGACCCAAACATAATTAAAAATTAAAATTAGTATATTTATATTCTTGAATAGTACTTGTATTGCTTCATTATTTTATGTATGGTAGACAAATTATTTTTTAAAATTTACTTTAAAATGATATCATATTCATAATTTATAAAAAGTATAAGAATACATTTTCAATTTTTATCTAAAAAATACATAATAATAATATCTGTTCAATTTTATGGAGAAAATGCAATGTAAATATGTTAATATTTTATTTTAGTATTTTTAATACAGAATTTTAAATCGACTGTTGAATTATTTTTATAAAGTAGCATAAACAAGTGACCAACATAAATACTAATTTTTTTTTATCTTCTTGATATGTATGAATACATATATTTTATATTTTTAAATTTGCTTTAGTCTATGATATATTTCAATAATTTATAAAAGCAAGTAGTTATATCATTAAAATTTTCAGGTTGGAATACACAATCCTTGAAATTTTTCGTATAAAAATGGATTTATATTAAATTTATATAATTGACAATAAATGAATATATTTAGAATTAATCTTATTGTAAAAGTCAGGTGTAGAAAAAATTTTTTATTTATGATTAAGTTTCTGTTGGGGTATAATTTTAGTGAATGATTACATTAATTTATGCGCGGCCACTTATTTCATTTTTCGTTATTTAGTTTCAATTATTTTCATTTGAATCCATTATTTTTTTATAATTTATTGAGTATCTATTATTAGGTTTAATTTCTATGCTATGCATTGTACTATATTAATTTAATTTATGTATATATATTGTTTGAAATTCCAGCCACCAGAATTGGTCGAAGACTAAGATAGATGGATTAGACCGTATCGCCGATTTAATGGTGGGGGGGGGGGGTTAAAAATGCATAAATTCAATGTAAACGAAATTGGTTTTAGTGCCTTTTATTTACGGTTATGTTACATTGGTAGTTGTTGTTTCCGGTCATTGTGAGAATTGTTGAGCTTGTCGTGATTCTAACAGTTGGCAATAAACTGTGGAACGTCGTGCGGGAGTGCGAGGAGAGACTGGTCTTTTTGTACTGTAGGCGCTTTATTCTTCTTAATGGAGGAGAGAATCGCAAGAGTCGCGAATCCATCGGCGCTTTTTTCGGCGATAACTCGTGTGAAGAGAATCGCAAGAGTCGCGAATCCATGAGTGCCTTTATCAGCAATTATTCTTGGGGAGAGGATTGCAAAAAAAGAAGTAGTGGGGAATATCAAACAGTATCGGTTCCCTCTTCAGCGGTCTGATAAGAATCAAGTTGCAGAGGTCTGACCGGTAGTGTCGACGCTGAGCCGCAATAATAATAATATGTGATACATATAGTTTGCTGAAGATGCCAGTCTATGTCGTCGCCCTCAATGCGGTCTAATTAGAGTCACTAATTTCATTTGCTTCGTCGTCTGTCGCTCCTTATATATGATTTCATACATTTAGAGTTTGCAATTCTAAGAAACTCTGGCAAATTCTCGGAAATGAAGCTTTAGTCGATTCGAGACTCTTCCTTTGTCGCTAGGCGGATACAGCATACGGCTTAAATTTCATCGAGAATTTTCGTAGCGAATACTTCCAATATTACGCATTAATAATAAATATAAATGTAATGGAACCATATTAAATAAAGCAATAAATTTTCATTGCTGGGTAGTTCAATCCGGAACATATATATATATATAACTTTTTAAACAAAAACATTGTAATATAATAATAACAATACAATAACAATTAAAATAATATATTCTATACCAAAAGCTATCTCTCTCGTATTGTGTGTATATATACATAATATAATAATCATAATATATTTTATATATGTAGTGATTATATATGTAACTCTCTTTATGACTCATTTTATGGATTCACGTTACTAATCAGCACTGTATCTTTTGGTTTCTACAGGCTCTACTACAGGGATCCCTGGAGTTCCGGAAAACATAACTGTAATGTTTCTAAATCCAACATCAGTGCGTGTATCTTGGAGCACAAATCAGGTTGAGCAAGTAGAAAAATACGATGTGACATACAAACCTACAGATGCAAGGTGCGTTATTATTGTACAGACGGAGCACAACATTCAATAATTCATTTTATGTTGAGAGTATTTTTGAATTTTAGAATTTGATTATTATTAAGGTATTGTTCGAAACATTTTGATAACAATCTTTATTAATGTAAGTAAATACTGAATTAGATGCAAGATTTTATAAGAAAATTTTTATTTTGAAAAGTATAGTTTTTAAATTCTATGATTTATTTTGCATCGATTTTTATGCAATATGAAACCTTAACAATTCAAGCTTTTTATTGATTTAATGTAAAAGAATTATATTACTTTTTTCTATTTTATTAAATTTATTTATAATTTATGTTCTTCTGAAAAGGCATAAATTTTAACTTTAAATATTTAACTAACTAACTAAAAATCAATTCACAAAATAGTATACATAAAAATGTACAAATATAATAAATAAATTGTTAATAAATAGAAAAGATAGTAAATAATAATAATTATTTTTGCAAATATTAACGAAAGATACAGAAATATATATCAGATTTTGGTTTATATGAGCAATGCCAGTTAATGTACTTTGTTAAGAAAATGAATAAAAAAATAATCACATTAGTTCAAAGCAAGTTTCAATATTAATACAGATTTTTACTTTTCTTATGGTATAAATGTATAGAAATAGTTAAAAATAATTAATGTACTTTCTACACTTAAACAGAAATTGGTCGATACAAAATTTTTATTTATTGTAATATTTATATTTACTTATCCCTACATTATTAAACTTACCTTTACATTATACAACATGCATATTTTTTTGTAAAATACTAATTTATATTTAATAATGATAATATTGAATATTTTTCAACAAACGTAATTCAAGAAAAATTAAAAAATATTTAATTAATTATTTCCTCAAGTATAAAAAAATATAATCAACAACCAAGAAATTTTTAGTTATCATTTTATTAAAAGTATATTATGGTTTATTCATAAATGTAATTTCATTAATGCATCACTTTGAAGAGTAATGTTACTTTGTTATGCAACATGAAAAATATAGTTTTAAATTCAATTCAATGTTATAATATTTATGTAAATACTGATAAATTATTTCATTTAAATACAAAGGTTTTTGTTCGAAATTGCGAGAAACCTTGCCTAGTCATTAAACAATCCTAAGTCATTAGACATCTAGCAAACCCAAGTCGTTAAACTTCTGGAAACGCCAAGTCGTTAGACTTCTGGAAAACCTAGGTCATTAGACATCTGAAAATAGTCGTTACACCCAAAAATAAAACACAACAGGTACACAATTCCAGACACTGTTGTCAAATCTAGCCATACTTTCGTTTGGATTGTTAAAGCAATCACGCTTCAATCAGGACTCCCTCTTAGCGGGGACGCCATGAGATAGACTACTCTCTCTAATTGAAGACGCCGAAGCTAGAGGCGTTCCAAGTAGAGACGCCAAAGCCAGAGGCGCTGTGATTGGAGATGCCAAGGAAAGAGGCGCTCTGACTGGCGACGCCAATGACTGGAGCGCCCGTAAGTGGGAACGTCGTGATCAGAGGAGCGCTCTGAAGGGGACGACCACATGTCAGAAATGTTCTCTTAAAAGGGACGCCGTGGAGGATGGCCGTGCTCGGCACGAGCCAAAGAAGCTTAGCTGTTGCGCCCTTCCTATAATAGGTTCCATCGCACACACTCTCAGCAGAGTCGTTAAGGACGGTACACGCAACAGTTTCATACAAATGCTCAAGTAGAACCTAATATTCAGTGCCACAATGCACTTTTTCAAGGATTCACTACCAACGCAGTTTCTTAAGGAGACCACAAGCAGGTGACCACCACGTGGCACTACACGAAGAAGAGTCCAGAGATTTACGACCTCACACTTCTCCATGTAACATCCACCATCAAGCGTATTTCGTCATGACGATCCGGAGATTTACGACCTCCTACCTTTATTCGTAGTGAATGCTAACACCACGTGGCAACCACTACGGAACTGCAAAATCTCAAGATTCTCATCATCAACTTAGGATCATTATAGTATAGTTTATAAAATAAAATGCAATAAACAGCACGAAAAGCAGATGTGTTAAATACTGAATTGAAGCTACCCCTCCCACTTTTCCACACTTTTCTCCCACCAGTAAACTGAAGAACTTAGTCTAATTCTAAATAGTTTTGAAAACCAATTCAAAATATGTTATTGTAAATAGATTTAAATTTCAATATTATATATTTTATAAATGTTTAATACTAACATTTTATAAATTAAAATTTCTCCGTATTTAATAAATATCAGTCTCACTAAATGAAAGAAATATATCAATATTATTAGCATAATATTAAAAGCACTTGTTACAGTTATATTGTTAAAAAATACATCTGTAAACAAAGTTAATTTATATTTATATTTACATATAAATAATTAAATCTTTGGCTTCATTATAATATGTTGATATTAAATTTGTTTAACTGAAATTGTTATATGTTGTTTTTGTTGTTTTCTTCAAATGAAATACATTAGGTGTTATTTTATTTTATTGGTGGTGGGTCAAATTTAGTATTTTTCAATTAGTTTTCATTTTAATATACAATTTTCAATATATTATTTTCAATATAAGCAGGAACATAAATAAAAATCAAATTTATTTTTCAAATTCAAGGAAACACTTAATTTTAATACTAAAATTGATTATTTAATTATTTTGTACATATGCATCGATATCACCATTTCATCACAGCTATATAAATATACAACAGCAAGTTTTGAGTTACGTTGTGCTTACCAGAATATTATTTTAATCAATAAATTAAATTTTGCATAAATATAAATTTAAAAGGGATGAAAAAATAAATAATAAAATAATATTATAAAAATATTTAATTATGTAATATTTAAAATATACATTATATATTATATTGTGTTCCTAATTAAAAAATAATAAAAAAAATTTAAAGAGAATATTGGAAACATTAAGTGTTCATACATACTCAAAATATACACAAATCTTTGAGGCGATGATTCATCGCCCTTAATATTAATTCCAATTTTTCGTATGACATTTTTTTAAATCACAATATTATATTAATACAATAATATTAAATATAGTAGCAAATAAATATAAAGTAAGGGGGAATAAAGAAAGTGCAGAGAGTGGTGTGCGTTCTTCTAAACTTCTAATCGTTTATTCGTGTAACTTTTGGACATATTTACTATTACATACTTTATTATTCTGGAGGCCACTTATATATAAAACTTTACACTTTTCATATCTTGAATAAAAAACGATTCATAGTCAAAATATATTATATTTTTAAATTATATTATTATTATTATTAGCACAATGTTCTTAAATTATAGGGTGAATAAATTTTTTAAAGAAACTATTGAAATTATTATATATTTTAACACTCTAAGTTGTAAAAGCATTTTAGAAATTTATATGAATAAATAAATTTGCTTATTGTTTAATTAAATTTGGTATAAAGAATTTATTACATATATGTTACTTATATTACTTATATGCATATATCAAATATGATAAATATTGAATTTATCTTTAAAATTATTCAACTTTATGGATTAATTCAATAAAAGCAGTTATTAACTAAACATTGAAAGTATTATCTTTTAATTCAAATTGTATATTTAAATATTAATTTAGTACAATAAATACATTATTAAATGTAAGGAGTAGGATCATTTACAGTATGTAAAATAAACTAAATTTTTGTTATATTTTATACGGAAGCCGAAGAAAAAATTAATTAAATATATAAAAATTTGTATTTATCAAATAGTTTAAGACAAAAATACTATATATTTTCATCGAAGATACAATTTTAAACTATAATTACACTTTCAACAAAATTTAAGAAAGATGTATTCAAAGTTGCAAATACAAAATTTATAGTGTGGTCCGTTTTAAAAATGTATTTTTAAAAATATCTGTTTTAATAAAAAAATATTACTATTATATAAAATATAATTATTAAAAATATTACAGTTCAGTGATAGATAATAAAATATTCTTTTTTCTGTATTTATAATTATTTATATTTAATTCATTAAAAATGTCCATGGCTGTTAGTAACATTACGTTACATACAGTTAAATCATAATAAATGTATTTTTAATTACAAGTATTTACCGAAAATTTTCATTAATATCATATTTATTTAAATTTAGTCGTTAAAGTTGATTGAGTAATTGAGAGAATTTTGTATAATTCATAAATTCATTCGAAGTACATATTTGTTTACGGATAAGACAACATTAATATTTATACAAAATAACGAGAGTAAACTCATGGTTAATAAATTAATCAAGATATTATTTTGGATATAAATGTATGAATATATCAAAACTGCTGCACATCATTTGTATAACCATCCTTTGTATAACAGTTGCCTCATTGATGTAATAGGAGTAAATCACAATAAAAGCCAGCGAAGAGTTATTTCTACTTTGAGAGTATGAAAATTGTATTTGTACTAAATCTTAATCAATTCAAATAATCGCATATAGATTCTTATAAGAAAAGTTTATAATTTAGTATAAAATGCTAATAAATTACTTACAATTCTCAGTAATAGCATAAATTTTTTTTAATTTTGATTGATACAAAATAATGTATTTATTCAATTAACGATACTTATTTCTTTGTATGGTGGATTTCAGTCAAAACAAATTGAACGTTGCTTAATTTGTAACTATAGATTTTGTTTATTTATAAATTCTACATTTTTACATATAAATTAATTTTTTTAATATGATCGAAAACTTTTAAACCAAATACTATATCTTTTACTATGTATGTATCATTGATTTTTTATGATTTTGTGATTTAATATAAGAAAGAAGTATTCAATATTAATATAGAATAGATGTAAATACTTTAATTTTGTTATATTTTTATAATTTTACAAATTTTTCATAAGAATAATCAATTTATAATTAGATATGGTATTAATTGCTAATGATATCTAATACACAATTGATAACACACTAAAACATTGGTAATTGTACGGGTAATATGAATATTAAAAAAAAAATGGAGTATGAAAAGAAAAGAAAGAGTTCTTATATATGTATCCGTTTTTGACCATAATCAAATATACGTGTATTATGGAATGACAACGAAAAGGCGGTTAGTTACAGGGTGGTGGCGGTGGTCGCAGGTAACAGCGAAGCGGTCACTCTTAGCAATTTGCGTGCAGATACGCAATACCAGCTGGTTGTCACTGCTGTGAAAGATGGCAAAAAACTTCGAAGTCGGCCAATTGTCTTCCGTACACTTGGTAAATATTTTATTCGTTTGATCAATTTTAATGATTTATAGATGCTATCAGCAATAGTTGATTTTTATTATTTTATTATATTCAAATATATTTTCATATTTGACTAATGGTTCAAAACTTAACTAAAGGTAAACATAACTTAGTTTTATAAAGTATTTTTAAAGTTATAATAATACGATATATTAGCATTACGCTGTTGTTTTTTACCTGGTTAGTAAGTCATTAGGAAGAGATTTAATTTAAAAACATAAAATAATTAAGCTAAAATATTATATTAAAATTAATTCATTTTAAAATTTCATGATAGCACTTCTTTACACTAGATAATTACTTGTATCTTTTCATAAAATAATAACGAGAATTATTTATAAAAAAAAATATTTTATAATTTTCTTCACAATTTTATAATTTTTGCAGCGTCAATATCTAATATAATTAGCTCGATACATGCAAAATAAATCTAATTCCACAAATAATTTTCGCTTTATAACACAAATACAAGGTTAAATCTAAACTATAAAAATAGAAACGGTATATTAAAATGATTGATTCTGACAATTCTCGAATATTCTAAAGCCTTACTTTCCAATGTCCTACAATGCTTATCTGGTCTCCGCATCGGTTGGAGTTTATGGAGTTCTCGAAACTTTTAAAGCTTTAGAAGATATTTAAAAGAAGCACATCCTGTTTAGATCTCATTGTAATTTAGTCAGTCAGTCAATTTATCAGTCGTTTACGCTATTCAGCCAGAGTTTACAGCCATAAGCTAGTCACTCAGTTACGCTTACGCAGTGAACCCATTACAAGGAACACACGTTCAATTATCGAGTGCGCTACAAATTTACAAGCAGCCAAGGGTGCTGACTGAAGGTATTCCTTTTCACGACGGTATGCCAGTAGTTTGAGAGCGTATGAGCCTTTTGAATACGCGCACGAACCGAAGGCTTGATCGTTCCGTGGCGGCTCTGCTGAAAATACCGACCGTTCCATGGCGGTCCTGCTGAGGGCAGATCGAGATCCGTGTGCCATGGCTTCTACTAGTAGATGATTAAATCAGTTCACTATGGTCGGTCACTGTGGTCGGGTCACGGCAAGATGTTAGCCGCAAGCGCAGTTGAGCGAGTGTGGTTCGGCAAGAGAGCCGGTCAGCAAGCAAGAAGCTTTCAGCAAGAGAGATTTTCAGCGAGAGGGCGAGGCGCGCCGCGTGCGTCTCTTATATATCTACACGGCGGCTCACTTAGCTGGCAACAAAGCATCGTCGTTATTGCACTAATTCTTTCTTACACGAGGCGTAGGAAGAAAAATCTAGAACCTTCGAGAATTTGACGAGAGAAAAGTAGGGCGTAATACCTTTGTGTGATCTTATAGTATATTAGATTTCATGTCGTAAAACTTGCTCGGACTTGCCAAGTTTTGTTTATAAACATTCGTCCGAGTGCGCGTCCCGGTCCGAGCGCGCGTACCGTACGCTGCACAGCGCGTATGACATACTTTTTTTAAATTCATGGAACTGCATCAATCTTGAACAATACCTCTCCCACTTTCGATCTTCAAATTTTTAATCCGTAACAAGGGTGATGGCGATGTCGTTAATGCTCTGGAGATTTATGTGGATATTGAATATCGATTTTATGCTGATGTTGTAAGGATCAGTATGTGTAGTCGAACATACTCATTCATGAGCATGAGAAGATGGTGGTTGGAATGAAGTATGCTGGAGAAAGAGAATGATTATACTCAGGACAGAGTAAGTAGTCTCGGTGGTACTTGTCACGTAATCAATCATGTCTCTAGTGAAGATGGGAGTAGTTGAAAGCTAGTCACACGCAGGAACAATAAATGATAAGCTTCCTAGTTCTGAAGGACTTGATGAAATGTTATAATCGATTATTTAATGAACTGTAGTCTGATCTTGACAATGTAATTGTATTGGGTGAACGTTCGTTGTCCGGCTTGTTAGCCTGCGAGAGCGTATTGCGTCACCTGTGTCAACTGTAGTTTGGTAAGCATGCGTTCTCTGGCTTGTTAGCCTGTGAGAGCGTATTGCGTCACTTGTGTCGACTATTTCGGCAAACTTTATATGAAAACTTGATTCGCGCGTGGGTGACTAGATTGTTCAAATAATAGAAATAGATGTACCTTATGAACTACTGACAGGGTATGTTGAATGACTGCGTGGCTGGCGTGCCCCTTAGATTACGATTCCAATGGCTTCACTATTAAATCACTAACCTTTTAATGACTCTTTTAATAATGCACATATATTTGTAAGTTAGCTGCCGAATATATAACCACGAAAACACACTGAATAGTCATAACAAATGAGTGAACGAGAGGTAGAATGACAGTGAGCGTCGCCGCATGGCAAGCTGTCCTTTAATATACATGCAGCAGCTTGCAACGCCGGCAACAATGCTGATGCTTGTTGCTATGCCTAAAATCCTTTGTAGCATCAGAAAACGATGCTTCTAAAAGTTTCATCGGCGTTCCTTTGTGAGAATATTGTAATATATTTGGTTTTACATCGTAGAAACATGCCCGCATTCGTCGAATCGTGATTATAAACAATAGAGTCCGAGCGCGCATGCCGTTCTTTCTTTTGAGTTTGTGGATACTGCTTCAATCCCGAACAAGGTATTAATAAAAATTATATCGAAATAAAAACAACAAATACAAATATAAATTGACAAATATAATAATATTTATATAATAAAATTTTCATTTGTGCAATAAGCTTGAAACGGTTTTTTTTAACGTTATTAAGTAAAAAGGCGGAAGATCGGGAAGAAAAATTTTTGTGGAATTTGTTTTTCTAATTGAACTACAAATTACCGTATTATCTTTTGTATTCAAATCATTTTCATTTTGTAAAGTCTTGTATAATGTATGTTAATATATGTTAATATGTACTATTAATTAATTAGTTTTTATATGTCATATTGTTCAGGGATCTTCCTTTAGCATAACGTACTACTAGGAAATCGTCACTCTGGATCACGGAACTTGTGGTCAATGGAACTTTCCATATTTTTATCAGTTCCGACTCAGTTCAAAGCGCGGTTCTAGGACTGCACGCGTGTCCCCATTCTCGAAGCCAACAAGCTGGTGATACAACTTCAATGAAAAGAAGCTAATGCTTGTTTTCACTTCATCGCCAGTTTTCTAGTCATCCATCAGGTTCTGGCCTAGAAGTTACTCTATCTCAGAAGTTAGCCAGCATCGCTCATATTATTGGCTGTATTATACCTGATTGTGGTCTTCTTTTCGACCCAATCGGCAGCCTCTGGAATGCCTTCAGGTGAGCCTGTATTGTCTTTATCCCCACGCTTCGTGGTTTCATTGTGCATGTTTCAGAAATAGCACATGGCCCCAATGCCTTGTGACTTTTGAGTATTCGTTATCTTATATTAAGTACCATTAGGCAGTTTTCTTGTAATTCATGGTATGTTTGGCATTTTTACTTCGTATAGCTTTATCATCCTTGCATTTTGTATCGATTTATTATACGAATAAAAGCGTGAGCTCCATGATTGAAAATGGTTGGCCATGTGTTTTGGTCTGTGCCCAACATACGTGTTACAAAATGTAAAACAGTCTCCTTAACCTGCTATATCGCTATTATATATTATTGGTTCTGCATATTGTTCGTGACTCGTAAAAATTGGTGTGTTAGGATATATCACTACTATACATACATTTCCAGTTCATGTTGATAGCATGTGGCTACACAATTTGCTCATGCCGTTAAAAGGTAGCAAATTTGATCATGCCTCCAGCACTCTTATTTTATGCTGTGGTAACAGTTCATGTCACTGACACATGAATCGCATCTGCGTTTATCTCCAGCACGTATTTCATATAAGCATAACATAAATGCGTTTTATTTGTTTACGCAATATAAATTATATCTGTCGTTTAAGATTTGATAATATATTTTTTTAATTTAACAGTCTCTAGCACAATATTTCATATAATAAATTTAATTATACTTTAGTTCTTTTTTACAATTATTGTAACACAAAAGTTACTTTTGTATGAATAACTGTAATCCATTTAAGGTTTTATAATAATTTATCTTTCTATTAATTATTCATATGATTCCTGAATACTTGTAAACGATCATAGACATTCCAAAATAAAATAGTACAATGTATAAATAACTATATAAAAATCTATAAATAATATAAAATATTTTTATATTTTAATAAATTATAACATAATTATATGCTCTTTATTATGATTGTAAATAGCATAATTTTTTTATATTAATTATATCCTTATAAGAATTTATTTAAAAGAATGATTACATTTAATATCTAAAATTATTGTATATACATATGCATATATGCATCCATGCATGCATCCATACATACATACATTCATACATATATATATATTTATATTTATATATCAATATACATATTTAAAAGGATAATTTTAGGAAGTTTTAAAATATACAATGAAATTATGTGAAGTTAATACTAATAATGCTGTTTATGTAAATATAATCAAATTTATATATGTATATTTGTTATAAACAAACTATAAGCATATATGAAAATAATTAGTTACACAGGTACATTGTAAAAGTACTTAATAAATGAACATTCAATGTTATTTACAGTTAATAGTTAATAACGATTGTCCATTTTTACAAACAGACAATTTTAGAATAATATTTTCTAGTAGTCAGAATATTTTCTAATTTGGCGGTATACTTAAAAATACCTAAATAAATAAAAATGATAGTTTCCATCTGTTAGTCTTTTCATGATTTTGAGCAAAACACCTTTCTGTTTATTATAATTGTTGCTTCCGTTTTAATGCTCTTAAAATACAATTTTCTAAGAACGATCATAATTTGAATAATTTGTTGATTTTTTTTTAAATTATATACTAACTTGTAATTGTTAAATAAACTTTTTATTAAAATATAATAGACTAGAATGTTATAATTAGAACTTGCAGCAGTTTCTACATTTTTATTGTATATTTTATTTAAAAAACAAAAAAAAAATTTAAAAATGAGGAGAAAAATGAGAATAAAATTGTATTTATATAATCTATAAAATAATAAATTAGCTACTACTACCTAATATTAAAATTATTCTAATTTCAGATATTTATTACTTTGAATGAAAATGGTAATATTTTATAATAAAATTGTTATGCATAATCATAATAAATAAAATAAATTTAACAAATATAATTCGTTTTAATTTATATTAATTTTTAACTTTTCTTTATATGAACAAAAATTATATTTTTCTATAATAATCTATTTATTTTGGGAAAACTTCTGTCCTATCACCTTTATTTCTTTATTATATTTAAGAGCAATCTTGTCCATTTAGAGAGTGTACTACCTTATCGAACCAAATTCTATTTTAAAAATTTTGAGATCAATATTTTCTCATTATATAGATATTTCTTTTCGTTCATAAGAATCCAATATTAAAATATTAATAAAATAAAAGCTATGTAAGGAATCGATTAATTCCCTCGAACCATAGAATTATTCTTTCAATATTAATTTTAAAATCTATTTAATTAAAAAATTTATTCAAGATAATCTATTAAACTATATTCAATTTTTATAACTATTTACTCTCGTAAATATGCTTTTAGAATTGTTTGTTATTATAATTTTGTTAATACAAATTTTGCCTATATTATAATCTTCACTTTCAAAATTTTGTTCTGAAATTGTCTTTCTAAATATATATATAACTAGTTCTACTTTTATTAAACATTAATAAAAACAAAATATAAATTAGTTAAATGATATGAATAAATATAAAGAAATATAAATTTATTGAACACATAGTATTATTAATTCAAATAATCTTAGAATTTTTATTATTATATTAATTAATTACATTATAATTAAATTAAATTAATTTTGTGCTGTAATTTCTCCTAATTTTAACTTATTATTAATTATTTATTTTTAATATTTTCAGTTCGTTTAAATATAACCTTGAATCAGTGATTTTATTTCAACTATTTGTTCTAATTCTTATATTAAGTTTTCAGTTCTAATCCACAATATTTAAATTACTTAGTTTTACTCTTTGTATAATATATCAATGATGCTATTTCTATCAATAATTTAAATTTAACAGAGATGTTAAATTAAATTTTAGTTACTATATACGATTCTCCTAATAACTCATCAATATTTATTTTATTTCCAATTTAGATCTTATTCAAATAATTACTATAATTAATTATATTTCAAATATTTTTGTTGATTTGCATATTTTTTTAAAACAAGAATCAATTTAACTAAGAATTAATCAATGTCATAATATAAAATTTCAACATCATGAATGAAATTTTATATTGCGTTTCTTTTATGGCTTATATAAGCATTTATTGGATATTCCTTTGACATATGTAACAGAATATAAATAATTATTTTCTTAAATATTTTATAATCTTTTTACAAACGTTTTTCAGAATTAAATAACATGGTATTTTTCAATACATTTTAACATAACTACAGTAATACACGAATTGTTTCCTTATAGTAAATTTCCCTTTATAACATATTTTAAATTTTTAAATAGAAAAATCGATTATAAAAAAATGTTCTAAAAAGTTAAAAATTTATCTTATGTAAAATTTTCTATTTTACTGCAGTTATTACAATTTGAAAATTTCAAAATTATTATATATCCAATAAACAACAAACTAATTAACAATTATTAATGTTCACAGAACCTTCGAAATTGTTTTCTCAACAAGATTCATCTGTATCTGAAGTTCCTCTTCCCCCTCCACCATCATCATCGGCGCAGCAGCCGCAAACTTACATTCAGGTGAGTAAAATCGTTTTTTTATTAGTTTTGTAGTTGTTTCATTATTCCAAAGCTTCTATTTTTTTTACATATATATTCGTATAATTTTATCCGTATATTGATTATATTTTATAAAAAAAGTTAAAAAAATTATGGCAACTAGATTTCAGTATACAGTTACCGAAAATTTCATTACAATTGAGTGTATTTGTTATTATCAATTTAATTATATTTTAACCAAGTATTTCAGTGAAATAACAATAGATTTCATAAATTAGAATTAATTACACTTTTAACAAGATAGGACCTTTTATGTATTCTGCTTTTCTCAATAATTTCTAGATTATTCTATTATTAGCTGTGCCATAGTTTTTATACATGTCGATTTTACCATTTATGTGCAATTCTAGTAACACCTGTAGAAACAATAGATTTTACATTGATTCCTCTATATCTTATAATGAAGAGTGTTCAAAATTGTTTTTCATTATTTTGATCAAGTTTGAAGGACAAAATAAATGTAGTTTTCTGACTCGAACTACGAAGTTCAATAATTTAGTCTATTTGTCGCTCGCCTTAAAGATGCTTAGGAAAGTACAGATGTAAAAGGGCTGTAAATATTTACAGCGTGTAACTTGTTTTAGAACAACGTTTATTTAGTTTTATTGGCAATTACACTAATGTTATTCTATATTCACTTCTCGTGTTGTAGTTGTCGTAGTTGTTCCTTAGTGATGGCGATGGTGATGGTGATGGTGATGGTTATGGATCAGCAATGGATTTTGTATATTCCTTGAAGGGGAATATGGCTTATTGAGGTCTATGCTAACGTTGTAAAGGTTAGCAAGAAGAGCCGACCATAGTCATAAGGCGAGCATTGGAAGGTGGTAGTGGTAGTTAGCAGGGAGAATGGACCATACTCATAAGGGGAGTATGGGAATGTCTCTGTGGTAGTTATTCTCAATAAAGACTAATGGTATACCTTTGAGTGTAGAAGGGTCCGATACAATGCTTTGTGTAGTCAACTATTTTTTAGAATGGCAGTCAGTCCTTGACTTGTTGTTAACCGTGCGCACTGGAGAATTGAACGTGTGTTCCTTGCAATGTCTGCACTTGAGAAGTGAAAATATAAATATAAATATAAATTTTATCAATTATTCAATTCAGCGTGTGGTGTGACTTTCTCTCTGTTGTAGACTCCGTGTAAAGGCGTGGCTAGGGCGTGGTTGGCTGGCTAGGACGAGTGACTGATTTGGAGGAATAACTGGCACTGTGCACTGAATGACTACCGTCACTATGTACTGGATGACTGCTTTGTGTTAACTACGTGGAGCCTTGATACGCGCTTCCTTAAGTATCAGCGCGAAAACTAAAACTAGCTCGAAACAAAGCTTAAACGTTGCTGCACGAAGGCTATGCAGCCTTGTAGTATGTTCGAAAATTCTACGAAAGCGAAGCGTTGGAAGATTCGAGAATTCAATCGACGTTGCTACGCGAAGGCTAAGCAGCCTTGTAGAACGTTCGAGAATCTAAGCTTTCAGCTAGTCGGGAATTCAGTGAGAGAAAATGTTAACTTTCCGAGAACCGAAGGCCTCGAATAAATGCTCCAATTCCGAACAAAGAGGTTTAACTTTATTGTATACAAATAATTATATATAAAAATATAATGTGATATTTTCTGTTATATTCTATTTATATAGATTTACAATTTCGTCGATAATTTTTAGTATATTAAACCATGATATTATATAAAATTTATTAAGTTAAAGTAGTTCTTGTGAAAATTTGTTTGACATAAATTCGAAATTATTCTTAATGCATATATTATGAATTATTTATTTGATTTTTTTTGTAATAATTAAATTCGATAAGTGGTAGATCATTGCTTTATTTGTTTTCTGAATTCACGAGCGTGCTATATAGATTATATTGTTTTTAATATTTTTGGTATCTGTTTAATTTAAATAGAAATTCAAATATCATATATGTTCGAAAATCATAACTCATGCTTTCATGTCTAGGATCAAACTAAAAACCTCCTGATAATGTTAGGTGGGGGTGATTACTGGCAAGTGGAGGAGGCAGACGCAATTATTCAATTCAACACACAGTGTATCTTGGTTTACTATTTATTTTGTGAATACAATATGTTTATAAATGTTGTTTATAGAATTATATTAATAGTGATTGTAAAATATGTTGTATTCCGTAGCTATTATTGAGATACGTTAAGATACGTTGTTGTAAACCGTAGCTGTTGAGAGTTACTCAATTTCTGGCAATAAATGTTGGTATTGTGCTTCAGCTAATTTTACTCTTGAACTGCACTTTCACTCGTGCTCTTTGAATATAACACTTAAAGGATTATGATTTTTTATGACACAGTTGGCTTATTAAATTATTAGGTTATAGTCGACACGTTATGTGCGTATATAACAATTAATATATGGTATGTAGTTGTGTAAATAACTAATAACTGGTTGACTGAGTTTTATTAATTGAGCGATAATAGATGAGAACGATTGTTTTAAATTATACTGAGCAGTAACTGATGATTGTGTAAGTGATGAATGTACAGTGAGAGAGTTTCGTGGCGAGCAGTTCTTATATATATAATGAGGCAGCTTCTAACGATGGCAGCAGTGCTTGAGTTTGTTGCTAGGCAGCTGGTCTCTATAACATCAGAACAAAAAACCTGCAGAATAATAGAAAAGTCTAGAAGGACGTTGTCCTGTAACGTTTGATAATCGACAGTCGTCGTTGCTATGTTGAAATATTGAAGAACGCTTGCTATAAATATTGAAGAGAGCTTGTAATTTTCCCATTTTTTCAAAAATTCTTCGACGTTGCTCCAATCCGGAACATTTCATATCTCAAATAATCGTCAAAATATGTTTTGATAATATCTTATTCTTCTAGTTGAATTTGACAGCTCAAAAATATAATAAATATTTATATTACCTATTTAGTATAATAAAAATATCCTTTTTTATACATTATTTTATTCACAGTACAAATTTGTAAATATTTTTAATACTTGTCAAAATTTTTATTTAATCTTTTGCACTTATATTGTGAACAAGATAATTCATACTTATTCTTATTGCTCCACTTTTCTCATAAATTAATAATATGACATTTGTACAACATAAATCAAAATTTTGAATATCACTGTATTCTTTCAATTCTTTTATATTATTTTATGTACACAATGTTATTTAAATTGTTTCTACCTATCACAATTTCAATCAATTAAATCAATTAAACTAATCCATACGTTATATAATTCTTATTTTTATAATTCACATATATAATTCATAATGTCATATGTTATGGATCTTTTATATACTAAATTATTCTACGTCCATTTAAGTTATATTTCTTCTGTGTATTAATATTTATTATGAACAATTATATTAAGACATTTTTTAAACATGTATCTATGATTAGGTGTGCTATTTAAAATAATTGCTACCACCGTATAATAATCGCGTATCCCCACTAATAAAGCATTCTTCATGACCAGTATTCTGTCAAGCCCTCTTTACTAAAATTAGAATTTCATATACATAATCGTAAAATTAAGCTTTATAGAAAAACATGATAGACAGCATTTATATTAAGAAATTAAGAAGCATTGGCATTTAGAAAGAATTATTTTGTATAAACATATTTTCATTATTTTATCATACCTATAGGCGCTATCAAAATATATTGTTATCATATCAATTTCTAGTAAATTTTAAATTCATTTACTAAAAAGATCGAAATTTTCTTAATGTTTCTAACTCTTAAAATGAACTCTAGACCTTATACGAGTTCTGGTAGTAAAAGTATATTATTATAAATCTTGTAGCTGAAAATTGAAATAATAAATTAAGCAAATACTTCAAAACGAGGGAAAATATAGTTGAAATTTGTGTCCTATAAAACATTTATAAATGACATAAGATACGTTAATACTTTTAGATTCGAGAAAGACAATAATAAAAATAATAAAAAAGAATGGTAATGGAAAAAATAAAATAAGACTGTTCGAATAACAGAATGTATGAATAAGAGAAATGTGAAAAGGTAAACAGAAACAATTGAAAGAAAAAAATAAATGAGCAAGAAAAACAAATAGTGAGATTAGATTTTATAAAATGCAAATACAAAAGAAGTACAAAAGTATGGAATTATAATAGAAATATGCTAAAATATTAAAAGTATTCTGATTGTTTCATAATAAGAAATGAATTATGATCTCTGACAATATATTGATAGAAACAAAATAGTAAAGATCTGAATTAATATTAATTAATTTTCATTATTAAAATCAAACTTGAAATAGGAAACATATAAGCACGTTTGTTACGGATTGAAACAAATAAAAGGCGGAATACAAAAGTGGCAGAGGTATGAGCGCGCGAACGGTTGTTTATAAACACTAGGTACCAAACTCGAGAAATGTTTCTACACCGAAAACTCGAATATACGACTATAATTCCAAAAAATAATGCCAATGAACCTTCCAAGGCTATGCCCTATTACCGTCACGACAAATATCGGTATAGCAACAGACACCGGATCGCTGCCGGCGTATAAAAACTACCACGAGAATATTTAAGGGCTGCACTTCACGCGCAGCGCCAAGTCACAGTCCCAGTCTCAGTCTAGTCTAGGAACAATTACGCAGTCAACACGACGGGCTCACTATTCAATCTTCAATCTTCTCTCGACAGTCATCACTCATTGTAGCGATACACGTATGTAATACTCAAACAATAAGCAATCTAACAATTCAATAGTGACGCCACATTATCAGAATCCGTTAACTAAACTTAAACTAATAACACATTAGTGATAACACAATCGAGAGTGAAATTATCGAATTCTTACTACATATATTAACGGATACACCGACGACTAAGGCAGCAACGACCCGGTCCCCCTTAGACGGCTTCGGTACGACACGACAGCGGCGGCTCTCACGCAGCTACGACTGCATCTAATCTTAGATACCAATGACTAAGGCAGCAGAAAACCGGTCCCCTTTAGAAAGCTTCGATACGACAGCGGCAGCTCTTACGCACCTACACTAAAGCAGCAGCGACCCGGTTTCGCTTAGACGACTTCGGTGCGAGAGCTGCGGCTCTCACGCATACTACGACTGCATCGACTCCTCGCACCACGGAGAGGATACACACTCTCCTCAGCACGTGACACAATTGAAGAAACTTCCACAAATTATTGACTCACACCTTCATTCATACACTTTATGATCATTAACTATTTATTATATTTATTATATTTAATAAAAGGAAAGACAAGAACCATTGCGTGTAGTATTGAATTATTGTATTGCCCCTTCCACTTGCCAGCAACACCTCCACCCAACATCAGAGGAAGGTTTTTAGTCTGATCCCAGACAACGTTAAACATATATTTAAATATAAATACGATAATTAATACCGGCGAGTACAAATATAGAAGAAGGCATTATATGAGAAAATATATTAATTGGCATTAAATTATAAATCAATTTAAAATAGTACTACTAAATAAAAAGTCATAATATTAAATTATATTAGCAATAGGAAGTAACGAAGATTATTTATTCAATAAAATACCAACATACAAATAAAATGTACTAATCAATTAACTTTATATAATATTATATATTACAAACTATATTTTATAATAGACATATATTATACAATATATTTTTATAAAATCTTTGAATTATAAAAAACATGAACGTAAATCATGAAAATAAATATATTGAAGCATTATATTTATTTAATTTTCATCGATATTTAGTTTTATTGTTGATATTTATAATTTATTGTCTCCGTATATAAAAATATATTAAATGATAATGTAACTAAAATTTTACATTTTACATTGAATCTACACATATAATTTATTATGATCTAGATATTGATCATCATAAATTCTAATTACGCTGATATATACCGGATATTGAAAAATCCATTAAATATTTTATTTAGTCGCTTAGACCATAATAAAATAAATGGTAAAAGATGCTAGTATGGTACAAAAACGAAGAAAAGGGAAACGAACAGCTTATTATTTGCATGATATATTTTACTGAAAAATATAATTTGATTGTGCAAATTTAACTTAGCAATATTTTTTAGACTCTCCAACAAGTCAGTTTAATTACCGCTAGAGGACATAAACAATGTCTAATTATTGACCTTTGTCTTTTCTATGAATCCTTCATTGTCGAGTAAATAGCTAAAGAGTCTGCTATCACTTAATTAAATAATATATAAATATTACTTTATCAAATAAATTATTTATATACGATAAATATATGTTAGAATTGTTTATATATATAATAATATTTCAATTTTAACATGATTTTATTTTTTATCTAACTTGATTAAAAAAAAATTTATTATTACTCTACTTTAAAAGAATTAAATAATTAATTATTATTACAATTATAATTCGTGAAATATATTTAATATTTATTTATATTTATAAAAAATTTTATAAATTTATTTATATGTATATAAAATTTTATTTATTTATAAGGTCATTTCTTCATTAATATAAAAGTATCGTTGACATAATCAATAATTTCATCTTTTATTATTAATTTTCTTTATTATAAAATTATAGCATAATAATATATAAATATATATGATTAATGTGTAAGCCTTATTAAAATAGAAATATATAACTAATTTTAATTATTACTTTTTTCTTTGAGATGAATTAATAATTAATTTAATGACATACTTTTTTATTAGCAATATAATTATATATTTTTAATAGATTTATACTATTGCAATTGATTTTAATAAAAATGGTCATACTTTATTTATAAATTGACTTAATATTGTAAAAGCAAATACATATTATTTTATATATAAGTTTATATATATTACATACAGTCAAATTATATATTTTAAAAAGAAAGAAATTATTAACTTTTTGTTAATTTACAGATACGAGGGGTAGAAGTGGGCATAGTCGTCCTTGTCTTAATCGTATGGGTGGGAGCGATAGCATTATTTTTTAATCGGTGGGGCAAAATCCGCATGCTTTTGCCATATCAACCGGACTACAAGGAACAGCTTAAAGTTCCTGGTACTGGGGTCTGCAATTCAACTAATGCTGCCTATACTCACAACTCCTCGCAACATGCTTGCTCTCAGGTAAGGCATCTTTTTCACATTATTAATTCTCTGGTATTAAATATGTTCTGGGCAATATATGTTGAACAGCCATCAGAATATTCAAACAATTTTTAATAAAAAGGTAAATATTCATAGGAAATTGAAACTGAAAATTAGAAGAAAGTAAAAATAATAAAAATAACTCTTTTCGTCGTTTATAATATCTTAATAACTATTCGATTGTTATTAGTAAAATACACATGTATTTTTTCTAATCTCTATTAATAACCTATCTGTGTCTAAATATAAATAAAATGAAGTTTATTAAACAAAATGTTTTTTTACATGATCATAAATAAGAATGTTATCACTGTTATATTTAATGTTATTGTTTCTATTATTGCTATTACCATACTTTATAAATAGTTAATAAGAACATTAGTTATTTTACATAAATTAAGAACTTCTCCAAGCTTTTATATACAATTTATTTTTAAAAAATCTCGATTGTATCTTAATACTTTTAGCTTATTTTTTTATTCTACTTACATAAAAGAACTACAAATCGAATTTTGGTCATACAGAAAAATTAATTTTCTATAATATATGCTATATCTTCTAATCGGATGAGAAATCGCAAAAAGATATTAAAATTAAAGTATGTCACTCATAAGCATAGAACAGTTAAAGGAATTTAAATCAAGGAAGCTTCACAATAATTTGGGCAGAACAATACATTGCATTGTTTAATGCTTGAAAGATACTTATTTTGCTGTTCTTCAACAGTATAATGCCAATGGAAAAGAAAGTACAGTGCATTTTCAAATATTTTTGATATAAGACCAAAAAATTTATTCAAAATGATAAAAATGTATTCAACAATCAAAATTATGATTAAAATGTCATATATACAGCTAATATTTTTAACGAGTTGCAACTGTTAATACGTGACAACGTATTAAATTAAAATTAAAATTAAATAAAATTAAAATACAACATTAATTAAAATAATATTAACAAACTATTGATAAATGTTTAAATTTATATAATTTATTTTTAAGATTTATTAAAATTCTTATAATTTTTATATTAAAATTTTTGTTTTACTATTGATTCTAATATTTTTAATATTTGTGATTAGAATTGATAAAATTTTATTAATTTATAATATAATTATTTAACCTCTATTATCATGAATATTTTTTATTAATATATTTATACCTTAAATGTAACCTTAAGTATACCTTAAAAGGCTAATGTAAAGTAACATTAGCCTTTTAATATTATAAAACATTATAAATACTCAAATTCAGTTGCATGTTTTTTTATTTTAATATTCAATATTTGAGCATTTTATAAAACGTCTATAAGCTGAATAATTAATTATTATATAACTAATTATGGATGGTATCGATAACTTAGGAGAGTTAAGAAAGTTTGATGATAACAAGATATTTTGTAAAAAGTAACTGAAATGCAGAGTAATAATTAAACTTTCAATATCTGGTAGAAAGTTATTATGATGTTTCTGTTTATATGTGTTGAAAAATAAAAATGTTAATCGTCTTGATATGAATTACTTTATATATAAATATTTCATTAATCTTATTAATTCTTTTAAATAACTATACTATAGATGCATCCGATTAATTTTCTCTTGCATAAAACTGCGTAATTATTTTATTTAACGTGGTTAATAATTCATGAAAATTAATAAACCTTCACTATACTTATTAACAGTTATTTTATGTGTGTTGAAAACAAATAATCAAATATGGAAGTAATAAAGTAGAGTAGAAATTGGTTGCAATTATATTATATTTAATTATTTACTTCAATTTAAAATATTCGAAGTAACTAAATACTTTCTTATATATATTTTTTTAATTTACTGTTAATATTCTGAAAAGTTGTATATAATTTATAAGTAAGGATTTATTGTTAACAAATCATACTATTTTTTATGAAATTAATTTGAAGTATCGAAAAGATGAAATAAATTTTATATAACTTGTGAAGAATCTTTTTTTTTACATATCTGCTTTATGTTAATACTGTCTAAGATAATCACATATGAAGGAAATAGAATTCATTAATATGCAGTTATTAGTATAAAAATTATTACGAAAAAATTACATGATTTAAATAAAAATATAAATAATATATAACTAATGTAAAATTTGTTCTTAATTGATGCTTAATAAAATTGATTGCGTTACAAAATAAAAATACAAAATAAAGTACAATAGTATATGCACAGTTCATTACTATATATATTAGTATATATTAGTAAAGTGCCTAGTACAATTAACTGGACAAAACAAATAAGGCTCTAAAACAATATGTGACTATGGATAAAGGTAATGTCTACATTGTTGGATATGGTGATGCAGTGCGGGGGAGGCGGTTGCTGCATGTTGGAGCAGTGCTTTCAGTATCCTAGAAGAAATCGGCAACCCCGTGATTGCGGCTGCCAATTTGCTCTACTACACAGGGCTGATATTGCGTAACCATCGGTATCATCATCATTGCCTTTAGTTTTAAAAAATATATTCTGATAATTGATTGGCTCAAAACTCCTGTATCGACTTTTTCTTAAAATTGACGAAGCGTAAAGGGGTTTATTTTGTTAAGGTTTTTTAATTTTACCTATTCATTTATTATGAACACGGTCTGTTGTCTTCAAAAATCAATAAAATCGATTTTTATTTCTAAAAACTTATTTTCTTGTTCATATACTAAAATATAAATAATACTATGAAATTTTTTGTATAAATGTAGTAATAATGAACTATAGAAAAATTTCTGTATATCATTTTACAATTAAAAAATAAATTAGATTTGCTTTAGAATGAATGAAAATATTACATTTAATAGAACAGTATTATAAATTATTATATAATACTTATTAGTTGATGCGTCGCACAGTTACATTTTTAATATAAAATTTATCCAGAAGGTTTATTTTTTTAATTGTTTTTGAAATATTAATATTTTACAATATTAAATGATAATTAAATAAAAAATTTTTTTTTGAAATTTCAATAATCTATGAAATACAAATATAATAAATTTTAGAATTCTGGCATTACAATAAAGTTGTTAAAATGTGACAAAAAAGGTATTAACTTCGCTAGATTATTTTACGTAATACAAGATGGATATTAAGAGAAATATAGTATAAACGCTAGAAGCATAAGTTTCAGAATGAGATTGAATTATTTATAAGATTTCATTTTTAAAATATATTAGATTAACGAGGAAAATTCAACCCCTTTGCGCTCGTATTGCTTAAATATATACCTCCCCTCTCTACGTTGCCATTTATACGTTTTTATTCTTCACGAATTCTGAATATGTTAGCCGATTTTAAACTAATAAACATTCATATATCATACGCCTATGAATTCTATAAACTTGCGAGAATAGAAAAATATAATAAATACTTTTCCTGTTATTTTTGTACAGTAATGAAAGAGCAGAAGTCCTATAAATATAACAGCATATCAATTAGTTGATTATATGGGGGGTAGTTTTATTTCGTATCTAAATTAATTTATTTGATTTTTTATGAAAGTTCAACAAATGAGCTTTTACAACAGTGAAAAATATATACAATTTTATCTTTTAGTGTCTGTAATTAACATGATGACACTTTCTACATTTTTTCACACTTTTTTATTTCAATCATCTACATATTTGATTATTTATTTGCATTCATTAGCAGTTAAAAGTATATCTTCTTAAAGTTTAAGTTTTTATTAAAATATTTTTTATATAACTAGTTTTCATTTAGTTAATTATTTAAATTAACAATTCTTATTAAATCTATTCTAAAGCATACGAATTTGGTTCTCAAAAATTATTTATCATCTTATGTTGTACACTAAATGATAGAGAAATCAATTTTATATTTGCATTTCATTTATATTTATATTTTGAAAATATCTAGTAATAACATTGTTAAAATAGTATAAATGATATTAATGATTTATTAAATAGTTACTTTTCATTTTTATTACTTACAATTTTATAAATAATTATATATGCAAAATAATCATTTGTTTTAAGAATGAATTCAAAATTAAATTTCATTTATGTAATAAAATTCAAAATAGAAGTCATTTAATGTTTTAAATTATTATTTGAATGGTGCATGTTCTTTGTATTTTATGATGTGAATTTTAAACTTTATACCTATAATTCTTTTTCGGTGATAATTATTTTACTATTATAAATTATTTAAATTTTTTTATTTTATTTTCAAAATAAATTCAATCAATAAGATATATTAAAACTTAAATTTTTGTAGTATGATGCAATGCATAAGTATAATAATAATTTTTAATTTATAACTTAATCGGCGAATATTTATTTATAATTTTAACTTTAATTTAATTGCAATTATTTTAATTTTACAGAATTATCAATTTATATCTAATAATAATATTAATACTTATAATATTAATTTAATCAGCATGTTTTTCTAAAAATAAGTTTGCTAAAGAAGTAAATAATTATATGATCAAAAAAAATTTCCTGGAATAATTTATTTGTAAATTATAGTATATATTATATATATATATATATATATATATATATATATATATATTTCATTTCATAAAAATAGTAAATCTAAATAATTATATTATTTATCTGTTTGCTTCTTTTAATAAATTTTAATAATATCAAATTATTTAATATCAAAATATTAAGTTAATTAATATTTTGTTATAACATCAGAATATGTATAAAGTATATAAATTTGATATTGTTAAATCACACTTAAATAATATAAGTATTTAGAAATACTGTTATTATGAACAGAAGAACAAAAATGAAGTATATAACATAAAATATAAAATAGAAATAAATTATTTTAAGTCGAAATTAATTAAAGGAAGAAATAAACCTATAATTAATTATTTGTTCAGTAAATGTATATTTAAGCAAATATATAGTTAACTAAATTAAAATGATGGTATATTAATAAAAAATAGTGTGCTCAAGATTGACGCACCGACAATAAAGTTTCATTCCATGAAATTTAAAGTCATTATAATTCATTATATTTGAATGAATTCGCTACGAAAATTCCCGGTAATCGTTATAGCCTTTGCCTAAGAAAGCCTTGTAATTTATCCGCATAGCAACAAAAGAAGATTCTCGAATCGATTAAAGCTTACTTTCCGAGAATTTGACAGAATTTCCAAAAATTGTAAACTCTATATCTACGAAATCATATATATGAAGAGCGACACACGTCGAAGCAGTTGCTGCGTAAGTCAAAGTGAAATAGTGCAAGTCATAACAGTTTAAAAGTTCTACACGTCTGTCTACGGGAATCCGTGCAAGGTATACTTATTTCTTTACATTATTTATTATCTATTGCTGGCTAGCTATCGGTGTGCCTTCCGCTACTTGACTTTAGTCAGACCGCTGAAGAGGGCGCCGATACTGTCTTGTAGCCACGGCCATACTATCATTACTGCGCCAAAGCGCCGACAGATAGAGCTTACCTCCCATAATCACTGTTACGTTTCGGTGGTACAATAAAGCGCCGATAGACAGAGCTTAGCTCCCATAATTACTGTTACGTTTCGCTGGTACAATAAAGCGCCTACAGTACAAAAAGACTAGTCTCTCCTCGCACTCCTGGACGACGTTCCACAGTTTATTGCCAACTGTTAGAATCACGACAAGCTCAACAATTCTCACAACTACCAATGTAACATAACCGTAAATAAAAGTCACTAAAACCAATTGTGTTTACACCGAATTGATGCGTTAACCTCTCACTCGTCGCTCCCCTCTCCACCATTAAACTGGTGGTACGGTCTAATCCAACCACCTTGGTCTTCGGATCATTCTGGTGGTTAGAATTTCAAACATAGTTTAAAAATTAGAATTTTTATATTATTTTTCTTGAGTTATTGCAGATGAATATATTTGTATTTTTGTGCATCATTTTAGTAATATTATATTTAACATATTTTAGTAATATGTTCAGAAGCTATACTACAACAAAACTTATCTAACAATATTACACAAAATCTTAAACGTATAAATAGCAACGTATAAATGGTAATGCCGTGTGTATAGGCATTTTCACTTACTAATCGTGAGACCTACGTGTTACAAACATAATTTTATAAAATACCGTTACTTCCGTTTTGTAATTTCGTATTGTTCAAAAAATCTGAAAAATTCACAAATTAGGGAAAAAATGAATCTTCACATCATTATTATATCAATGCTTATAAACTTTATATTAATATGCAAATAATTGCACTACTTATTCTATAATAGCTTATTTCACTTCTTCATTTCTTAAAATTTCATATTTTTCTTTAGTAAAAAATTGTATTTGATCATTTTCTGAAATAATTAAAGTACGTAGTGCTTATCAAACTTTAATAGATTTTTACTTGAAAATAAAAATATTTATGTTAATTTTTATTAAAACAATATATTAAAAATTATTAACTTAATTATAATCTAGAAAAATTTGAATGTTTTTTACTCGCATTATACTTTTTAGATATTAATTGTACTTAAGAAAATATGCAATACATAAAATTTTTAATTATTAAATGAATAATAAAATCAATTATTGTCTGTACTATGATATTAAGTTAATTATATAATATTAATATATAGAATGAGAAATAAAAATAGCAATATGAAATAAAAATTTATTTATTAACGTTTTTAAGTCATTTTTAATAATATTTTCTTCAAATTTTCAAATAGCAATAATAATTGCGTGATTCGCACATTTTCTGCACAATTCTTATTAATCAAATCACATTTTCTTCGAAATACTATTTTGCACTCCGTAAAAAATAAGATTCCACATACCGACAACTATTTGTACTAGTAAAATATATTTTATTTGTTACTAATAAATTTCATATTTCATAAAAATTTTATTTAAACCTTAAAACACATAGATCTATAAAATTTTAATTTATAATTTAAAAAAATTTTTTTCACAACTTAATTATATTCACTAAGTATTTAACGAAAGCTGTTTACATATCCTGTCTTTTGCAATTGCATTCAAAACTCCATATTGTACTATTGTACTATAGAACTATTGTTATTGTATTCTAAAAATTTTAACAAAGCTTTGCTACCTCACTATTGTATTCAAGTTTTTCCACATTTATCATAGTTTGTAATTTTTAGAGAAAGACAGCACATTTTTATTTTTAGTAATATGAACATGTGCTAGCACATTTCTTTAGAGCAACAATTACAGTAAAATTATATGAGCAACAAATGTAAACGAATGAAAATAGTGGCAATTCACATTAATATTTCTAAGGCTATGTAGGTAGATTCTAATTTATGTTTATATGGAGATATTTATTTAAGTGTATACTTATGCACAATTGGTGTATTTGTGTGCACTGTGTATGTAGGTATGCTCTTATGTGAGTACGTAAAATGAATATATGTGCACAGATAGTGATATTATGTAAGTATGTGTATAGGTATGCATGCACGTATGTACGCATATATACATATGGATATACATTTATGCATGTAGATATGCATCTGCGTATATATACGTATATGCATGCATATATGCTTACATGAACACATATTATAATATTATTCACAGTATTGCTTCAAAGAAGGAAAATCCTAAAGTTATAAATGCTGTTAATGTTCTTGAATTTTAATCAAGGGATTATTAACATTAAATGCTATCTTATTATTTGAATAAAAGATTAAATTAAATTCAAATCTAATATAAACAAAGAAATAAGTTACAGTATTGCATTCTCATTAAAATACATTTTTAACATTTGCTATTCATTTTCGAACAATAAATAAAAAGTGTTTTATACTTAAATGAAGTTAGAAATTATTTAATACAATCAGTTTATTGATTTAATTATTGCATAATTCAATATTTTGTACATATATCTAATTATTGTGTAAAATATTACTTACCCAATATTTATATTATGCAATTATTTTTAAATACATTTGCTTGCAGATAAAAGAATTTATATAATGTACAGAGCATTAAACAATAAAAAATTCATAATAATAAAAATAATTATTTCTCTCTATTAAAAGTTATAAATAAGTTTAATATTTAGTTTTTATCAAATAATTTTTTAAATCTTAATATAAAATGGACAGAAAAAGTTTTATGTATGTACTAATTAAAATATAAGATAATATCATTATTTAACAAAGTTACTTATTGCGATATAAATTATATAATATTGTAATTTGAAAAGTAGTATTTTAAATATAAATTTGAATTTTTAAATATATATTGTAGAACAGTAAATTAGAATTTCGTACATAAACAACAGCATTTTCTCTAAAGGAATAAATCAATATCAATGTAATGTGGATACAAAAATTCATAAAGCATTAGTAGAGAGCGATAAAGTTGGCTTTATTATTTAGCTTCTGCATGTATTACTAATTATTGCATATAAGACTGGATGGTATTTTCAGCAACTGCACTGGTCGAACTATCATATGGGCTCTATCGATAGTTGCGGAGGTGGTGTTAACTGGCCCAAAACTAACAGGCCACGTGTTAATAGTGCCATCGATGTAGCCAGTTTCTTATCTCAGGTAATTGATTCTTTTGTATGATTCTGAAGATTTTTATTATTTTTAAGGTTATTCTTTCTCCTTTAAGTATTCTTGAACTATATTTTAGAATTTATTTAAATATAAGTTAATTTTTATCAATTACATAGATTGTATCATATTGAATTAATATTCATGGATTTTCTTTAAAGAACACATTTTACTTATAATATAACAATACATAAATTTAAAATCAGGGGTCCTTTACATGGCCAATATATTACTGTGTAAACTTACAAGAATTTCAATATAAACAGAATTTTATATAATATATTTTAAAAATTTTAAATATTTACTATTGTTGATTATCATTTTAAATTCTAATATAAATAGATTAAAATATTAAGTTGTAATTGGAAAATATTTTTATATAAAATAAGTTAATAGTCACATTAGTAATAATAAATATTAGAAATAACAAATATGTTTTTAAAAGCTTCATCTATTAAAACATACTTAAATATATTCTACATTAAGTTCTTGAAATGCAATAAAGGTTCTTTTTACATTATAATATTAATTTTTATAGTTGTACGCTTAATGGTACATCGAGTGTGCATGTATAGTCTATTGTAATATTCACTACATTAGTGGTATTATTATGAGCTTTATAGAGTAGGTATTTCTTTTATTTATTAGGTATATTTGACTTACTTTCTGGAACATATTTCAAATTTTTATTTTTATATATTAAAAGAAAAGTAATGTAATGTGTCAATATTTAAATAAAGATTATGAAGGTGGATGAAGATCCATATTATGAATATGGATATTTTTACATCTTTGTAACTGACAACTATTCAATTTAACGTTTGAATATTTTTTTAGCTTGAATATCATTTAAGACCAAAGATCAGTATAACTTAGCTATATAAACGGTTATTTACATAATAACTGGAAAATTTTTAAATTGTTTTGATAACATATTTGGTTGGATATTATATTATTTTCTATTTGCTGTATAAATAAATATATGAAAAAATAAGTATTGAAATGAAATATTATGTAATGGATTGGACTAAATTTTAGGAATAATACCAATATTTTATAGTTAAAAATCTTTTTCATAAGAACTACTTATATATAAACTTAAACTATAGATATACTTATTATAGTACTACTTAAATTATAGATATACTTATTCTAATAGAATCTAATATTATAAAATAATAATACAATTGAAAAAATTGCGTTATGTTATAAATTCTCGTCAAGTGCATACCTTCTATAATTTATATAGTATTCAAAGTTATTATATGTTTATTTAAAAATATGGTATGTTGAAGTACTTGATCATTAATGAATGTTATATAATTATATATTAATATTAAATAATTAATATTAAAAATGAAATTAGTATTTATATTGATTTGATCAAGTTTATAGTTTTTTATTTTTAAATGTAAGGAACATAATTTATTACATCTATTTAATTATTTGATTTTCTTTCTTTTTTTTTAAGGACTGATAATCATTTTTAAGAAAAACTTTGCTTACAACATAAAGTTTAAAATCAAAATAAAATATAAATAATGTTTGATAGGTAATATATACCACTGCTATAAATAATTAAATACAACACAAAATTTATGTACATCAATTTTTTTTAATTATATATTGTTATATAAAATAAATTAATTTCAGAAAATATATAAATATATGTTTTATACATTTACAAATGCAAAAGTATTTGAAATTATATTTTAAAATAAATTAATTTTACAACTGCATACTTTACATTTAGTTATTGTCAATTGACGACATATATAAATACTATTTACATTTTCCAATATAATTTTAAATTGTTAGTGAAAAAATCACATTGATAGTTTTTAGATGAAAAATATAAAGATTGTGGTTATGAAAATGATTAATATAGATACTTAAATAACCTGAAATAAAGAAATAGATGGTAGTATATTTTTCTGTAACTACTTCTTTTAGGTGGACGGAGCTATAACTACATAATTTTTTAATACATTTTTTATATCAAATTTTTCAAATTCATAAATATATAGCATATATACTTATATATGTCATATAAGTGCAGTTATACTTAATTTTCTAACAATTAATTGTTTGTAATTTCTTAACTGAAATGAGGATTGTATATCATTCAATAATATTGTATATTGTTTATGATTAGTTTTTACTAAAAAATTTGCAGTATAATTTGTTTGCGATATTTTTAAATATTTATTCTATTAATTATTCATAAAAATTCTATATTCAGTATTTATTTCACGTAATTAATCATTTACTTGCGTGTTCCGTTGAACGCAAATTGCATTTGAAAACAAAACTGAATTAATTGCTAATTTAAATATAGACTTAAATTCACAGTGTTTGTACTTTTTAGAGTTACTGCATTGTGTTGTTTGGAAATTCAGAAAATCTTTTTTTCAGTTATTGCAATTTATATGTTTATAAAGATATTTATATTTTTTCTACTTCAAATAACGTATATCCACATATAAAAGTACAGAAGTTTTCATTTTATGTGTTTTAAAATATAAAAAAATTTGACCAAATTTACAATTTTTAATTTGATATTTATTTCTTAATTATTTCCAGCTTCAGTAATGATTCATAATAATGTTAATTTATAATATCAATTATATTTTTAAGTAGATTTTAATTCATAATAGGTTTCTCATAAAAGATATTTTTTATAAAATCATTCTTTAGTTCATTAAATGCAAACAATTGAATTAAATGTAAAATAATAAAAAATATAATTTGCTGCAAATATTCTTTTAAATTTCATTAAAAGAATGATTTTTAAAGTATTAATTTAACTATGTGTTTAATTAGCTATTAATAATTTTACTCTAAAGATCAGTGAATTAAAATTTTTTTAAACATTTTAAATTCCGATAAATTATTAAGAATTGAAATATTTTTTTATAGAAATCATATTTATTATTTGCAATATTATACAAGTTTTTATTCAAATATTAGTAATACAGATAATATTAATCATATTAATAATATTATTAATTATATTATAATATTAATAATATTAATCATTATAATTTACTCTATTTTGTGTAAAACTGAGAATATATAAAGTTCCAATTATAGATTGTTATAATATTTATTATAAAAAAACATTTTTTTATAAAAATGGACTTTTCTCTTTAAAATATTAAAATTATAAATAATATAACATATATAATTTATAGCAAGCTTTTATAGAACAAATATAGGAATATTTAAAGAATTGAATAGAAACGTACGCACAGATATATATATCGATCTAGTAACCAGATGTCAGTATAATTGTGTAAATTATACTACTTACAATAATTAATCATCTTAAAAAGTATCAGATGTGTTAGATTTGAATATTTATAAATCCTCCAAACCATAATAAATAAATAAATCTAATTTTATAACATGTTTTGTAATTTCTATTAAAAAACGAATACAAAATTTAAATTCAATATTGAAACTTTAAATAGATAATAGTAATATTATCACGTGATTCACATGTGTATTTTGAAATTTTGCAGACAAATGTAATTATAAAATTTTATAGTTTATTATCACAAGTCGATTTTCAAACGACATGTAAAGTACTTTAAGAAATATTATAGTAGCGCACTGCAAACTGGTTGTAATGAATTTTATTCTATTATTGAGGCCACCAGTTTTCTGACTTTATTTATTTAACATACTATTACCTAAGTTTTTAACAAATACATTTATTTTTAGAGATATATTAAGATCAATTATCTCTACCGTGTGTTCTTTAAAAGCCTTATAATTTTTATTTATGATAGAATAAAATTATCGTAGGAGATTGTATTGAAATTTAATATCCCATAGTAAATTTTATATCGGATAATAATTTTATACAATTCAAAGTATTGTTTACTGCATTATTCTATTTTTATATTTACATATGTTCATTAGGTATTTATATAAATAATTTTAAAATCGCTGTTAATTATTTCAAAATATTTTTTAAAGTATTTAGTATAAATTTATATTTATACATTATGTAATTCTATTAGGTTACCCGAATTACAATGAAGTATTTTGACATGCATTATTTATTTTAGATAATTAAATGTGTATGTGTAATATCAATATAAATTTGAATTATGCCATTTCTTAAATTGATATAAATTTATATTGGTATCAGTATTAACAAATATAAATAAAAAGATGAAACTGAAAATGAAAACGTTTCCCTAATTAGGAATTTTTACGGAGACACGGTTCCACATCACGACTCTGCCGAAAAGTTCGCAGTGCAGATAACTTACCACTGGTCTTGAGCAACCAGCAGAACTCCGATGTATCAGATTGCATTAGTACCAACGGCGATCGCGAAATTTTCCTTAAATCTAATCAAGATGACAATGAAAAAAGTGATGACACCGAGACACAACAGAACGCCCAAGACAAAACAAAGAATGACTCTTCATTATATGAGTTTAGTTCGACTGAGCATCAATCCTCCAGGTATTTATTAATTATTATACTGAATATACCGAATTAATTTTAATTCATGTTTATGTTTGTTCTATATTTCGAAATCTGTTATTAGCGATGATTTGAAAATTAATATTTAAATAAAAAATTTTAAATTATATACTTTTAAATATTTAAGCTTGTTTATTATTGTTTTTGTAGTAAAATATAAGAAGTAAAAATTTTGATCAACACATAGCGTCAATGCCTAAACATGTTTAAATAATTATGTATTTATATTTTTATAATATTACTTTTCTTAATATCACTGATAATGCAAATAGAATAAACGGTTATATCACCATTATAAATTTACAAAAAAGAACTACAAAATTTGCTAATTGAATTACAAACAGCTCTGTTAATTCTGGTGTACATTCATAAGACATATACGAAATTCAGTTTATTTGGTAATTATTTAAAATATATATAATAAAGTGAAAATAATCTATTGAAAACTCTGTGTGATACAGTAAATTTATACATAATATTATTATCATCTTATATTTAGAATACATATATGATTACTAAAGAAATACTAAACCAATTACTGCAGTTGTAAAAATGTTAATTATTTTTTGTTTTTTTTTTATGTTGCACTTTAATAGAATGTAGATTTGGAATCTTATTTTATACGTTTCGAAAAGGTTTCAAATGTAAAAAGAATAAATTAACAAATTAAGATATTTGAAATTAATGCGTATAAATCCAAATCCGATACTTCTGTTTAAAATCCTCGATTTGAGAATAAAATGAATTTTGAGAAAAAATGTATTACTGTGTTTATAAAATTATTTTAATTATAAATTGAAATAATCATTAAAATTAATTTTAAAAATAACTAAAGAGTAAAAAATATTGACTATTTTACTTTATGTAAATTAAACAATTATTTATAAATTGGAATTAGAGAATTAGAGAAAACGAACGCTCATTTTTCAAAAAATGACAGGATTCTCTCCCTCTTTCTCTTTTTCTCTCTCTCTCTCTCTCTCTCGCTTCTTATTTTGGTGATTATTTTTGCCGGATTAGCATCAAATCCACTGTAGAAAACAGTTTCTATTATAATTAGCTTCCAACCCGGCTTGGTGCTTAACCTCTCGCTTCATGACTATTAGTTGTTGCTACCCTCGTTTCCATTTCTTAATAATATTTTTGATATATTTTAGATTAAATTTTAAATTTATTACTCAACGTTATAAATCTTTATTATATTTTTATTAGTGTTATTTACATAGTTAAGTAAACACTGCATTAAATAGTAATTGAGTTTAAACTGTGAGAAAAATGTTACTTTTTATTTAAAAAAAAAATTTTCTTTCATATACAAATTTGGCTTAGTAGTTATATCAATAATGCAATTTCGTCAATCTTGACAAAAAATTATATTTCTTTTTAAAAAATGTACTATTACTAAGGAAAATTTATTTGAATTTCATTATTTTAATCATTTTTATTATTAAATCATCTTTATTTTAAAAAATTTTAATCTAATTATAAGTTATCCAAGTTAAGGCAGTAAAAAAGATATATCAAAAATCAAGAAGACAGTTGTGTTGACTGTTAACTTTACTATATGGGTCTCAACTAGTATATCCATTTTTATCGATTTAAATTATTACATAAAGAATTAAAAGTTTATATTTGTATAATTTTATAGTAATTCAAAAATAACATACAAGTTTGCAAGTATTTGAAATAAGTTAAATTATTTGTACAAACCAAATTTCTATAGAAAATGCATCTTATGATTTACTATATGATTTACACTCACCTTTTTTTACTTTATACTTTGTTTATGCAAATGTATTATTGGCAAATGCTAACAGGAAGGGCTAATTTCAGGTGGTATATTCTAAGATTAAGGGCTAAGACAGATGTTTATTAATTTATTTATATTATTGGTATTAGACTTAGTCAATCGTATGTATTACATTTTTCAGAGACCTTGCATTAGTTTCGGTCTGTGAAACGACAACTTCATCAGAAGTTACAGTCCCTATAATTCGGTCCTGTTTATCATCGTCACAATCAACACTTGCAGCTAGACGTTTGACAGGATGGCGAAATGTGGCCATAAGTGGACGTAACTATATACAATGTCCTATCAGGCAACCAGCTTCGGTTGAAGAGAGGTGAAGGCTCGGCGAAATTACATTTAAAATGTTACTTCTAATTAGTATTATTTATTTCATACCTTATTCTTGATCTATTAATTGTTACTTTTACTCTATATTGTTATTTTCATCGATACTATTATTATTCTGAATTTTATAACTATAATAGTAATTGTCATTAATGCTAACATTCTAATAATAATTCATATTGTTTTATTATCGTTATTTTTGCTGCTGCTATTGTTATGATTCTTATTCTTCTTTATTATTATCATTACCACTATTATTTGCCTATCATAATTTATTCTTTCATTATCAATATTATATTCAAGATAATTCTTATAATTACATTATCGTGATTATGGTTTTTACCTTTCTAATATAGATTAAATATATAATCTAATATAAATTAGGTTCGTATTATATTTGTATTTCTTTTATATTTTGTGCAAAAAATTAAAAAAAAATATTATTTTTATAAATGTATATTGTTTTAATATTTTATAAGGGCGTGTTATAGGTTTAAATGCATTTTAATTGGCCGATATCATCTTCATATAACATACGTAAAATGGGTGTAATAAAATACATGCTTAATTATAACTTTTTTTTTTATTATGAAATATGTAAAAGCTTAATTGATGTCTTTTATTATTCATATATTAACTTCATTAGTAATTTTTTTTTAAATTTTGATCATTTTATTATTTGATAAAAATTAAATATTAAAAAAAATGAGTATTCAAATTATGTAAAATCTTGTAATTTTTAATGTTTATTTAAGTAAATAATGAGAAATAAAATCATCTTGTATTTTTTTTCTTAAAAAAAAGAAAATTTTTATACATAACTAAAAATAATATTTATGAATTTGCAAATTACTATTTCTCAAAACAAAAAATAATTAAATGTGACTTGGATACATAATCTTTATATAATTTGAATAATTCAATAATTTTGTATTACTATACTTTTAAATTTAATTTTATATTACTTTAAGTAATGCACATTGATTTAAAAGTACATCTAAGCTCTTTAAATGGTTTTATATAGAAGAAATTGTAGAATGCCAAAAGCTTAAATATTTTTTATGGAAAATGATATCTATCAGTACTAATTGTTATTAATTTATACCGTAATATCGTGCCATTATTAGAAGATAAAGTAGTTTTAAAAAGTAAAAAGGATAACCAACAGCTTCATAAAAGAACACACATTTCTTATTAATTAACGTATTACTTAAAAATATTTCATATTATTTCTTTTTTTATTATATGTTTGATACTATAAATATTTGAATACCGATATTCTATATTCGAAAAATTATTTTGTCCTCTTTTATCACCAATAATAATTTAGAATATAAATTTTTAAAAGAAAAATCAATTTTACTTTTAATTATTTATTTGCTTAGAATATATATTAAAATATAAATTGTACTGTAAATATTAGTTAATTATTGAAATATTTATTTTAATTACTAGCAATATCAACCTATTTCGATATATCCATATATTCTTTGTTTTTTCTAAATGAGAAAAGTTATATATTTAAGAGGCTCTTCTATAATTCCTTCCATAGTATATATTAATATATATATATAGAGAACACAATTTTATGAAAATGAAAAAAAATTATAAAAACGTATCAAATAAATATTTATGGCGATGCATAATAAACTAAGTTGCAATATATGATTAATAATAAAGTTGCATTAAATTAATAATAATTTTAAATAAAAAATGCTTTCAAATATTTTTCTAAAATCATTATTTTATTATTTTACATACATCACATTATTGATGGATGTATTATATTACATTTGTCGACATTATTAAATAATAAATATAGTTGTAATATAAACCATACTGCTTATTATTAAATATTTTTTCACATGTTAATTTCACTGAACTTACTGTATCAAAATTTATTAAAGTAGTACGTTGATTTAGTTGAAAAATGTTTAAATGATCACACAAATTACAATTTACATATATAAAATAATTTCGTAATTTATAATCATATACAATATTATTTTTAACAATTATTTTTTTAAGATAGAAAAACAATACGCAATTATTAGCAAATATTTATATTTTTAAAATATATAATTAAGTATAAAAAGCATTTGCTTGTAATATTGAAAATGAAGTAATAAGAAATTTTATTTGATTTTTAAAATAAATTTGTACTATATTAAATTGAATTTGTATTTGTCAATTAAAAAAAGATTTATAAAAGAATTTATAATAAAATTTTTATTAAAATAATAAAAACATGAAGTGTTAAATAAGTATATTAAAAAACAAAATTTGCTTTATAAAATGAATAAAAAAGTTTATATTTTCATTACAATGTTTTCGTTAAACAATTAATAGTTACAGATTAATACATATTTTAATTTCTTAAAAATTCATATATTAATCGAAACGATTTTCTCAACTGAAATTTTTCATAAATGCACAGTCAAAGCAATAAAAATTTTTAATAGAAAATTATGATTTACATTAAAGTCCCACAGCTTCAAATGGAGGTAAATATCAATTTTTACAAGTTAGTTTTTCTCAATAAAAAACACGAAATTAAATTCCTTTTGTTTCTGTCATAAAAAGCTACTATTAAACCAAACATAGTGTTTTAACAAATATTTAATACAAGTAAAATAAAAAAAAGGAATTCTAACATAAAAAGACCGACCCTGGAGGGAAATCCCATACACGAATATTCCTGCAGATGTTACAGACAGTCACGCGGTTTGTCAGACCAGTTATCGTGCTGCTTGCTTCCCATCAGCAATCGGTATCCACATCTCCTTCTGCACCATCATCAACATCATGAGAGTACTTCTAATATCTACCACTCAAAAAATTGCGAATATGGACACTGCACAATTGAATGCAACATTGAAATTCAACAACATTTCGGCCTACCAATCCTTAGCATTTCAGAACCAAGTCCTTCCGAAGAAGCTGACTGTACGAACG